GGAATAAAAAATGCAACTTGCTGGTCCCGCATTGCAGTCTCAGAATCTGTCCCCACCCGTTGCACTATAAAGGTAAAGATTCCCCTCGCACATATGTGCTAGTCGTTCCCGACTCCAGGGAGCGGTGCTCATCTCTGTTTCAAAGCCGAAGAGCCAGCGCTGTCTGAAGACGTCTCAGTGGTCATATGGCCGGCATGACTAAATGCTGAAGGCCCACGGAGCATTGTTATCTTCCCATCAAAGGTGGTTCCTATTTTTTCTACTTGCATATTTACGTGCTTTCGAACTGCTAGGTTGGCAGAAGCTGGGACAAGTAACGGGAAGTCACTCTGTTACGTGACGCTAGAGATTCGAATTGCTGAATTGCTGACCTTTCTGATTGACAAGCTCAGCGTCTTAGCCACTGAGCCACCGCATCCCTTTGCACTATATTGTCTCCCAAACTCTGTCTCCTGTAGCCTGTCTAGTTGCAGAATATTCCCACCATTTACCACTAAGGAAGATATTCGGGCAGCTTCCTTCACATTATTCAGGTAATTTCAGACTTCGTATTTCCAAGGAACACTTACTGGTTTGGAGAGTTTTCATTTAACATACAGCATTTGTTTTTCAATACTGTGTTAGTCCTGAGCTCCAAAAACCACAAGAAGCAAGAACTGTCATTATGGTGTTGGATCAAGGGAGGACACTCCTTTGCTTCTGGGTCTTGGGGGCTACAGATAGGATTTGGCTTTCTGAAGTCCTTCCTTCAAAAACTGGAGATAGGTTGCTGTGGAGGGGTCTTCAAAACCAGAGGCGAAACTAAAGATGCTGCTCTCAACTTCTTCAGGCTTCATAGAAGTAATGTCCAGGAAATAGTTGGCGTTGATGTGGTGAACCTGTAAAACAAAATAAGGAAGCAGGGTTCCAAACTCCATAGGATGTTTCCTGTTTTCTCCAGCAGCCATTGAAGGTGGAGAAAGGCCCAGGGCTGCCTTACTTAGATTTCTTTGATTTTTAAAAGTGCAGAGTGTTCTGACCTAGGCTTCCTGATACAGTAAAAAACACACGCTTAGTCCCAAAACCCTTCTTTTTATTTCAAAGGCTGTGGAATATGTTTATTCACAGCCCGTAACGAGTCCCAAATAGTTGTAAGGAGTCCTACAGTAGGCTGCCAAAGTCTTTCGGGATAAGGCTGATAAGCGCCCACCTTTATTTTCCTTGAAACGGTGTCAAAGACTTAATTGGCAATTAGCTTGGCAAGGCCACATGGAGCAAAGAGTCAAAACAGAGCTTCAGAAGGTAAACTGACCAGCATGAACCAAGTTCCTTCCTGCAAAGACTCATGTACCTTTGCTCCTCCTTTGTGTCCTATGGGAGGGGCCAATCACCTCCAAGCCTTTCTCCCTTGTGTTGAGTTGTCCCTTGTGTCTTAGCTGTTCTTGTCTTCTGGCAGCTCTGCGCATGCACGCTGAGGGAACAGGGGGAGCCTGTTCCTCTGCCTCACTGATGTCTGACTCTGGAGGCTCCAGAGGTAGCACATAACTCTCAGATGGCCCTGGCCCCCTCTCTGCCTCCGAGGCAGAGCCCTCGTCCAAGCCTTCCCCAGACTTCAGGACTGGCCCATGTTCCTCCCCAACCTCCTCGCTGTCCGACTTTACTGCCAGCTCCGTAGGCCGCCAGCGGACCACAACACATAGAAATATTTATACCTGTTTTCCCCAAAATAAGACAGGGTCTTATTTTCTTTTGGGCCCCAAAATAAGCACTAGGGTTTATTTTTTGGGGGTGTCTTATTTCCCCCCCTGTACAGGAGGCTCACTTCTGCTTGCTTGTGGCAGGTCAGGAGGCTATGTGGTGCACCAGTGCCCCCATCATGAGGCGGGGAGATGGAGCTGCCCCACGCACCCTGCACTGGCTTACTCAAGGCCCCACAGCCAGGCCATCCATGCCCCAACATCTGCCTTGCCTCGCAGCCACAGCATGCCACTCAGCCTCCTGCTCCATTGCAGCCACAAACAAGCAGAAGAAGTGGGCTGGCGGCCACATGGGCTCTTGCTGCACATGGGTGTTGGTGCTGCAGCCGCGAGGCAGGTGTCAGGGTGTGAATCGCCTGGCTGCAAGGGTCCTGAGGTAAGCTGGTGCAGGGTGTGTGGGGCAGCTCCCCCACCCTACCTCACCTCATAGCCATGGCACCGTGGAAAACCAGACGGAATGGGCGGGTGGTCGGCTGTGCAGGTTCCTAAGTAGGGCTTATTTTGGGTATAGGGCTTATATTAGGCGCACACATAAAACATGCTAAGACTTATTTTTGGGTTAGGTCTTATTTTTTGGGGGGGAAACAGGGTAGATACTATTTGCATATACATGTATACACTGTAATGTCCCATGCAACTCTTTTTTTCCATGTCTACAATTATAACAATAAATATTCATATTTAATTTTCAGTGTTTCTGTGAACATTTGTGACAAATGTTCCTCCCTGCTTCAAGTTGAGGTTTTGGGAATATTTCAGCTAATTTATTCACTTTAATCCATCCCAATGCTTCAGTAGTTCTGAGTATGTATGTGCCATGTCTCTGCCCAAGATGTAGCTATTTTCAAGCAAGTAACTTTTAGCATCCAAGAAATGCTTGGCAAATCCTGATTTCTGAGTGTTTGGAACAGAAAGAACAATCATTAGACTCACCTCACTGTTGTTATGGGGAAAACAGGGTCCCCAAATGTGCTTTTTCAAGAGGCAACTGTACTGTTTTTTTCTTAGAAGACGTTTCGCTTCTCATCCAAGAAGCTTCTTCAGCTCTAATGATGAGAAGCGGGAAGTCTTCAAAGAAAAAAGCAGGAACTCCAGTTGCCTCTTGAAAAAGCACCTTTGGGACAACCAGGACCTGGATGACTGAGAAACTCCATAATTATTAGAAAATACTTTTCTGCTCTTTTAGGCGCTGCAAGGACACTGCATTGCTTCAAATAATTTCATTTTGCTCTGTGACACAGAATTATCCGCGAGATGCTCAGTTCTTATCATGGGTAAGTCAAAGTAATTCCACAAGATCCCACAGTTTAGAAAAATACAAGATAGACAAGAGGTGATTGAAAAGATCGAAGACTGAGAATCTTACCACAGTGCCATTGGGCAGGCAGATCATAATCTCCACAGGGAAGTTATATTTTTCAAGATGAAGGTCTGCAAGTTTGCTGGTGATCTCATCCTGTTTCTCCTTTGAAAAAGACATTCACATTTAACATTTCTTGTGTTAGTATGATGCTCTTGGTTTAGTTCAAATAGAAACAAATCTTAAGTTTAAAATGAGATCAAAGTCTATGCTTGCATCACGATTTTAAAACCATGAAGGGTTATTACAAATGGTACAGCATTTCCCAATTGTTTGCTTCTTGTTTGGTTCTGGTATATTGGATTGTCTTCCAGATGTTGTCCAACTCTATATTCTGTGGCTTCAGCCAGAATGAGGGAAGCTGTGATTCACCAACATCTGCATGACCGCTGTTTCAGAAGCTTTGTTGTGAGGAGTTGGGAAGGAAATGAGCAAGAGCAGAAAGACAGAAGGATTTGTTTTTGAAAGATAAAAACAAATTCATTTGTAGAGCCTTGCCCGTGTAAAAGTGTTGGCATAACCAATATTAAAAATGACATTTATATATAATATATAACTTTATTTAGATTTCATTCATAAGCAAAGAAATTCTTCAGTTAGGGGAGCTCCAGCTTCTTAAGATATCTTAAAAAAATGCTGGTGAAGAATTGTGCCAGCTCCAATGGTGTCTCCTTGACAAGGAAGCATAATGTTGAAGGAGAAGGTTCTCAATTTGGAAGTCCTTCTAGCTACTGCTGGTGAAGAAGATAACAGACTATGGACCACTTGGTTGTTGTGCCAAATTTCACCATACCTGAAGTAGGAGAACTCCACCAACATAAGTCACGCTTTTCACTACTTAGTTGGATGACTGCAATGTGCAATCCACCAGGAAGTTTCAGTTGGAGAATGCCATGTTTCATAGCTCGTATTTGGCACCAGGAGTACACTATATGGGTCCTCACTGGCTTCTGATTAGTCTGGATGCAACTCAAAATGCACATATAAACCTCTCTATGAATTGGTACTGATTGACCCAGCCAATTTGTCTTCAGAGAAGCCGTTGGTAGTAGTCAACTTCTGTAAAGTGAGTGGATGGCTGAGGCTCAGAGTCACTTCTCAATATTAGCAGCCATAGAGATCCTACTTGTCCCCGATCTCATTTAGGAAGTGGAAAACTGAGCCCTTCTGGAGGTCACTTGATGAACTGAGATGGGCTCATCCATGTTTGATTCTGGATTTTGGAGTATAGTTAGTTATTTAGCTGTCACTTTTAATCAGTAATTTAATTAGGAAAAGGTGAAAGTTCCCTTCAAACATATGTGCTAGTCGTTCCTGACTTCAGGGGGCAGTGCTCATCTCTGTTTCAAAGCCGAAGAGCCAATGCTGTCCAAAGACGTCTCTGTGATCATGTGGCCGGCATGACTAAACATCGAAGGCGCACAGAACACTGTTTCCTTCCCACCAAA